AACCACGGATTGATGAAGCGGATGTACGGGGACGTCCGACAGGCGACGGTGCTGCGGCAGGAGTTCTTCCACGACGACGAAGGGCACCTGACGGCGACGTCCCCGTCCCTAGACCGCGATATGCGGGAATTGGACCTCTCGTTCCACCGCCACTACGACGACGTGCAAGTCTTCACGATCAATCGCATTCCCAGTTTCGACCCGTTCGAGAAGCCGGCCGTGCCGGACACCACCGCGACGTTCGCGACCACGCCCACGTCCGCGGTGCCCTCGACCGCACCCGCGACGACCACGGCCAAAGCGCCCGTCACCTCGTTCTCGGGGACCACGACCGGTGCCACGACCGTCACCGCGGCCACGACCAACGCGACCACGGCCGCACCGACCACCACCCTCGACGCAGGCACGTCCGTCACCGTCGACGGCGCCACCACAGCCACCTCCTCCACCCTCACCACCAACCAACAGGGGTCGGAGTGGATCTGGACGACCGCCACCGAGGACTCCTTCACCGAAAACTCGGAGACGGAGACGGCGGCGACGACGACCTCGGCGCCGTCCACCGTCGCAGCCGCCGACTTCCCCGCCTTCGGGGAGCAGCGGCACAAGCCGGTGGGAGAAGCGATTTTCGAGTCCATTTCCGAGGACATCGCCGCAGCCACTCAGACGACTTCTCAACGGCCGAATAACAAATATCAGAAGATGAAGGGAATGTGAGTGTCCATGCCGTTTCGTTAAAGGAAGTTATTATTATGATTAAATATTAAATAATTATTATAGCAGATAAACGGGTTAGAAAAATCGCTTTATCGATGGTCTTTGATGAGCCGATTGTGGCAAATGCAGAAAGGTGAGCCAACAAATTATTCTTCACTATTCTGCACCTTATTAATTCTTTTCACGCCAGCCCATGAGATTTATGACACTGCATCTCCGTACCGTTTTTTCGCGGGGGAGGCAGGAAAGGCGTGTGAAATATATTATAAAAGGAACGGAAGTACGGTGGGATGCCGAACGAGGCGCTCTTGCAGCGGAGGACGGCTGAAAAAAAAATCTTTAAAGAAATATCGATTTTTTGCCGAAACTTATCTCAGCCATTAAATGGAAAATTCCGAAATTCTCGGGAAAGAGAAGGGGTCTCCGGCCGGATGTGCGATGCCGGCGTGCGATTAGAGGCAGGCATCAGCTGAGACGTCTGCGTCCGCTCATGCGATGCATGGGTTTTGGTTGCTGGATGAGACAAGAATCGGTGGGAAAGCAGCGCTTTCTGATCTCAGACATAAGTCTAGCTGCATGCCCGATTCCATTATTGGTCTCAAAATCAGGAGGAGGTTATGCACTACTTGTACCATGTACTACTTTTATTTTATTTTTTTTTGCGCGGGAGTGGCCAAAGGGAACAGTGGTATCGGTATCGGCAGTGGGGAAACCAGCCGATAATTCAAATGCATTGGCTACCAATGCCAGAGGTTCCCGATACATCGGAACAGCCCTAGTTGAAAGAGCGATGATGTGTCCCCGCTGTCATCTCGCCCCCCCCCCCCCCCCCCCCCCCCCCCCCCCCCCCCC